TCAGAGACGCCGCCGACCATTAGCGACTTTGATCACAGAGTTGCAGCAGGCGGTCATCACCGAAGGCAGCAGGCTCCGAGCTAGCCTCGATGGCCAGACCGGAGCCCCCGCAAGCAGTGCTGAACAGCGTGCAGCTCTTGCAGGAGCCGCGAGCAGTGCTGATCCCAGTGCAAGCAGTGCTGAACAACTTGTTGCACCGATCTGGGAGTTGCTGCTGCTGTACAGTTTCGTAGGAACGTTCGGTGTAGCAAGTGTTGCACAACCTTGCTCAATGCTAAGTCGTGCGGTGTAGGCCGGATCCGGAGCATTCTCAAGCACACCCGGTGAGCTAATGCAAAAACATGCGTCTGTGTGTGTGCCTGTGCGCAGACAAAGCACAAGCAAAACCAAGCAAAAGCAAAAGCAAAAGCAAAACAAAAGCAACAGCAAAAGCAAAAGCAAAAGCCAAGGCAAAGGCAAAAGCAAAGACAAGAGCAAAAGCAAAGGCAATGCAAAGCAAAAGCAAACAAATGCGAAAGTGTAGATGTAGATTAGATGTAGGTGTAGGTGTAGATGTGGATGTAGGTGTAGGTGTAGGTGTAGGTGTAGGTGTAGGTGTAGATGTAGATGTAGATGTAGATGTAGATGTAGATGTAGATGTAGATGTAGATGTAGATGTAGATGTAGATGTAGATGTAGATGTAGATGTAGATGTAGATGTAGATGTAGATGTAGATGTAGATGTAGATGTAGATGTAGATGTAGAGATGTAGATGTAGATGTAGATGTAGATGTAGATGTAGATGTATATGTAGATGTAGATGTAGATGTAGATGTAGATGTAGATGTAGATGTAGATGTAGATGTAGATGTAGATGTAGATGTAGATGTAGATGTAGATGTAGATGTAGATGTAGATGTAGATGTAGATGTAGATGTAGATGTAGATGTAGATGTAGATGTAGATGTAGATGTATGATGTAGATGTAGATGTAGATGCAGGTGTAGATGTAGATGTAGCTGTAGATGTAGACGTAGATGTAGGTCTCGATGTAGATGTAGGTGTCGATGTAGAGGTAGGTGTAGATATAGATGCAAATGTAAAGAACTCCCCAGTGCCCCGCCCTCATCTCCGTGCCTGCTTGCTTGTGCTGCTGTCTCGGCGACTTGCTGCCTGCTTCTGCTGCTGCTTCACTTACGGCGTGGCGTCGGCGGTTCTGGCGCTACTACTACTACTACTACTACTACTACTACTACTACTACTACTACTACTACTACCACTACTACTACTACTACTACTACTACTACTACTACTACTACTACTACTACTACTGCTGCTACTGCTACTACTCTACTCCTACTCCTACTCCTACTACTACTACTACTACTACTACTACTACTACTACTACTACTACTACTACTACTACTACTACTACTACTACTACTACTGTTACTACGACTAACTACGACCTACGACGACTACGACTACGACGACGACGACGACGACGACGACGACGACGACGACGACGACGACGACGACGACGACGACGACGACGACGACTACTACTACTACTACTACTGCTGCTGCGGCTGCTGCTGCTGCTGCTACTACCGCTACTGCTACAACTACGACGATGAGGAAGAGGGAGGAGGACGGCGTTTACCGCTCCTACTAATGTTGCTTTCCTAGAGGCTCCAACTCCTAGGTAGGGTCGCACTGGGATAATTGTACTATGGTTGTGGCCCCAGTTTGGCCTCCTGGGGGAAGGGGGGCGCGCTAATTAATGATCCCCTCTTGTTTGATCGATCTCCTCCAAGATGGCCCCAAGAAGCGCCCAGGAGCCCCCAAGATGGCCCCAACATGGCCCCAAGATGGCCCCAAGAGGCCCCCAAGAGGCCCCCAGGAGGCCCCCAGGAGACCCCCAAGAGGCCCCAAGCGACCCCCCAGAGCCACCCAAGATGCTCCAAGAGGCCTCGGCGAGAATGCCAAGTCATTGATATCACGAAGGTTTTAGCCACGTGTTAGCCTCTTGGGGGGGCACTGATTGAAATCAAGAGCGCCTGGGAGAACCCAAACTGACCTCCAAGATGGCTCAAGATACCCCAAGATGTCTCATAATGGCTTCCTCTGTCTGTGTGCTGCCCACTTCCCTGATCGAGGCAATTCCTCTGGGCATCGTTTCTGGATGGGCTGGTGGGGGTTCGCGAAGCGTCAGCAATTTCATAGTCCACCCCTCCGTCTTCCCCTTCTGGGAGGGGTTTATCACTGTTCCCGATTAATAAACGCCCCCTCCCCCATGCGACTGGGGGCCAACTAGGGTCCATGCCACCCCCCCACACCATCCCTTGTAAAAAAACAATACAAAACACACTCTGCCTCCAAATTCAGAACATGCGCAGCCAACCCGATGCGCCCCCCCCACCACCACCATCCCTCTCAAAAAACACTACAGAGTACACTTGGCGGCGGCGGCGGCGGCTGCGGCGGCTGCGGCGGCGGTGGCGGCGGCTGCGGCAGCTGCGGCGGCTGCGGCGGCGGCGGCGGCGGCGGGGGCGGCGGCGGGCGGCGGCGGCGGCGGCGGCGCGGCGGTGGCGGCAGCGGCTGCGGCGGCGGCGGCGGTTTGGCAGCGGGGGGGGGCGGCGGCGGCGGCGGCGGCGGTGTCGGCGGCGGCGGCGGCCGCGGCGGCTGAGGCGGCGGCGGCGGCGGCGGCGGCGGCGCGCGGCGGCGGGCAGCGGGCGGCGGCGGCGGCGGCGGCGGCCGCAGCGGGCGGCGGCGGCGGCGGAGGCGGCGGCGGCGGCGGATTGGCCCCCAGTAGCTGCCCATCCGAAGACGACTGCTGGATATGCTCAGGCTCGGGCCATATTCGGGTGATACGTATGTGTTGGGAGGGCGGGTGGGAGTGAGCGAGACGGCTTGCGGGCGGGGAGGGGGTAACGTGACCCCTCCCCGTACCCCCTCACCTGGACCTGGACGGGGGGGCCTCGCGAGGTGTCAGGGCGTCCAAGACGGCCTCGGCGAGGAAGCCCAAATCATTGATGTTACTATGGTGGTGGCCCCATTTTGGCCTCCTGAGGGGGGGACCCAAATTGAAGCTCCCCTCTTGTTTGATCGATCTCCTCCAAGATGGCCCCAAGAAGCGCCCAGGAGGCCCCAAGAGGTCCCAAGATGGCCCCAAGATGGTCCCAAGAGGCCCCCAAGAGGCCCCCAGGAGACCCCCAAGAGCCCCCAAGAGACCCCCCAGAGGCACCCAAGATGCTCCAAGAGGCCTCGGCGAGAATGCCAAAACGGCATCGGCGAGGAAGCCAAAATCATTGGTTGTTGGTAGGGTTGTGGCCCCATTTTGGCCTCCTGGGGGGGAGACGCCAATTAATGCTCCCCTTTTGTTTGATCGATCTCCTCCAAGATGGCCCCAAGAAGCGCCCAGGAGGCCCCAAGAGGTCCCAAGATGGCCCCAAGATGGCCCCAAATGGCCCCCAAGAGGCCCCCAGGAGGCCCTCAAGAGACCCCCAAGAGCCCCCAAGAGACCCCCCAGAGGCACCCAAGATGCTCCAAGAGGCCTCGGCGAGAATGCCAGACCGGCATCGGCGAGGAAGCCAACATCATTGTTTTTTTTTGTAATAGGGTTTTGGCTCCATTTCGGCCTCCTGGGGGGGGGGGCGCTAATTAATGCTCCCCTCTTGTTTGATCGATCTCCTCCAAGATGGCCCCAAGAAGCGCCCAGGAGCCCCCAAGAGGTCCCAAGATGGCCCCAAGATGGCCCCAAAGGGCCCCCAAGAGGCCCCCAGGAGGCCCCCAAGAGACCCCCAAGAGGCCCCAAGAGACCCCCCAGAGGCACCCAAGATGCTCCAAGAGGCCTCGGCGAGAATGTCAAATCATTGATTTTACGAAGGTTTTAGCCACATGCTGGCCTCTTGGGGGGGGGGCACTGAGTGAGATCAAGAGCGACTGGGAGAGCCCAAAATGACCTCTAAGATGGCTCAAGATATCCCAAGATGTCTCATAATGGCTTCCTCTGTGTGCTGCCCACTTCCCTGATCGAGGCAATTCCTCTGGGCATCGTTTCTGGATGGGCTGGTGGGGATTCGCGAAGCGTCAACAATTGAACTTGCTTCGCCTTTCCAATCTCAGCGGGCTGAAAGTCGGTAGCTATGTGTACTATGAGGTGCAAAACTTCTGGGCTCGTTTCCATCGCATGCGTGAGCTGTGTGCCTCCTGGATCCCCCCAGGCAGAGACGCGTGGCACGCTGCGAGTGTGCTCGCGGCAGGGACAAGAGGATATGCTAGGAAGACGTGCGCAGCTGACACATGTGGTTTCCAAAGGTCGTCGCAGGCCTCGTGCCAGAGCGACGACTCGCTCTCTCTCTCTCTCTCTCTCTCTCTCTCTCTACATATATGTCTATATTTGTCTCTCTCTCTCTCTCTCTCTTTGTTTTTCTCTCTCTCTCTCTTTCTCTCTCCCTCTCTCTGCCCCCCTCTCTCTGCAACATTCGACGTGCAATCTGCGCTGAAAGGGATCCCCATCGTGCGGGCGCCCTCCTGCACACCCAGGCACACCCCTCACCTCTGCCCACTCTCCGACGGCGGCAGGGTGCCACGCGCGCGGAGGGGCCTACGGGAAGCGTGACGGTGGTCTCGTCGAAGTCCCACTGGCCGAGGAGGCAGCCGCCGTCTTCCTCGAGCACGGGCAGTGTGCACAGGCGCAGGGCGGGCGAGGGTGGGAGCAGAAACTGGACCCAGCAGTTGCCACAGTGACAGCACGGTCGGCAGACGCGGTATCGACTGGACGGGGATCACAGGCTTCACGGCCGATAAATCGCACATGAGCTTGTTCGATGGCCGCGCGCCTAGCAACCTTGGCGATGGCCGCCGCCCCGCAAGCACAGCACGTCGAAAGGATGAGAACGAGAGGAAACACAGGAGGAGGAGGAGGAGGAGGAGGAGGAGGCGGAGAGGGAGAGGAGGAGGAGGAAGAAAAAGAAGACGGGGAGGGAGAGGATAGGACGCGACTGGCCACACCATTTCAACGCGACCCCCCGATGCAAGCGTCGAGCTCTTCCTTGAAGCAGTTGCGCAGCGGACCGAGAAACTCGGCACGCCTCGACGGGTCGAGCAGATCCTCGTCCGGCGCCTCGAAACTGGTGGAATTGGTCGCGGACATGGCCCTCTCCAGCGCAGGCTCCAGCAGAAGCTGCCACGGCGACTCGGCGCGCTGAAGGGCCTGCTGGGCGCTTGGCCTGCTTGCGGGGTCGAGCGCCAGCAGCTCGCGCAGCAGCCTCTTGGCGCCGCAGGAAGCGTTCTGCACGAGGGCATCCAGCTTGCGGCAGGACGACTGCTCCGCGTACCTCTCGGCCCCGGCTATGCTGAGAGAGCCGCACGCTGCCATAAACCTCTCTCGGTCCCCTCCGCCCAGCCCGCCGTCGGCATCGCTCAGGACATGCACGATGACAGCCAGCATGTCTCCGGCGGGGTCCAGGCTCTGCTCGTTTGATAAGGCTTGAGGTGGCGCACGGACAGCCTTCCCAGGCAGCCCCGGCTGGCCTCAACAGGCCTCCCGAGTAGTCACAGTTGGCCTCAACAGGCCTCCCGAGTACTCTGGGGCGGTGTCAACATCCCAACCCTTGGGCGCGGAGCGCCCCAGGGGCGCCGACAGATGCGGCGCCAGGGTGTGGAGACCGCCCCGGACTACTCGGGGGGCCTTTTGAGGCCAGCAGAAAACTACATGGGGGGGGGAGGCTGTCTGTGCGCCACCCGAAGCCTTACCACGCTGGTTCCTGGGGGACAGTGCGCTGGCGGTCCCTGGGAACAGCGGCCGGGAGCGTCCCCCCGAGGGCACGAGCTGGAGCAGCTCGCCGAGGATGCAACCCGCGGCCCAGATGTCGACGGGCTCACCGTACTGGGCCGACACCAGCACCTCTGGGGGCCGGTACCACCGCGTGACAACGTGGCCCGTGATCGTTCGGACCAGCGACGGCGGCGGCGGCGGCGTGAAGGATGAATCCGCGGCCGCCAGCGTCTGAGCACCTGGCTGGACGCCGTGCGCCGCACGCGCCGCGGCGGGTGACTCCCGCGACAGGCCCAGGTCGCCGATGAGCACCTGGCCGTCCTTCAGCAGGCAGTTGGCAGGCTTGAGGTCCCGATGAACGATTCTGAAGCTGTGCAAGCAAGCAAGCCCGCCCATAATGCCCTTGAAGAGCTCGGCGGCTCTGGTTTCCTCTAGAGCGTTGTTCAGGCGATCGTCGATCAGACTCTGGAGGTCTCGATCGCACTTGTCGAAGACCAAGAAAACGACCTGGAAAGTTTCAGGGGTGTCACCCTTGGCGAGGCAGATGTTGCGCAGCTTCACGATGTATCTGCTATGAACCCGGCGGAGGATCCTAATCTCGCGTAGCAACCTCTTTGCATCCACCAAGCACTCGAACCCGCATGGGATGCGCTTGACCGCTACCACATCGTCACTGAATTTGTCGCGCGCCTGCCAGACCTGCCCATACGCGCCGCAGCCCAGTTCCCGCTCGAGGAAATAACGGTCTGGGAGCCTCCACGACACGTGTTGCAGCGAGGGGCCAGGCGCCACGAACCCCTCCAAAGCGAACTCGAGCAGCAGTTTCTTCCCCGCTGCCCTGCTCCTCGCGGTCGGGACCACAACGCCCGCCTCCGTCTGGTCCGACAGAGCCCGACTGCCGTCCAGGGCGCGCCCGCGAGCGCCATCGGCGTACAGCAGCACCGCGTCGCAGCGGACACCCGAGCTGCCCAGATCTCTGGCGACGGCGTCCGCCAACATCTGCGCGGCTGCATCGGTGTCCACTCTGCAGAGATAGCTGACCGCGGGAAGCCCCGCGGGCTCCTGTCCCCTCCGCAGAGCCAGGCACACATCCACGGAGGGATCGTCGCCCACATTCGCCAGCCTCCTCTCGGGCTCCATCCGCCGCGCCCTGGCCCGCGGCTGCGGCGCCGCTGAGATCTGGAGATAACAGCAAAGGCGGAACACATGAAATCCAATCCCATGGACGGCGAGCACAAGGAGAACAGCACGACGTACACAGAGACACACTACGAAAAAAAGACTCGACGACGCACACACACACACACACATACACACACGCGCGCACACCCACACGCGCACACTCACACGCACACACTTTCGAGAGCGTGCGTGTCGACCAGGAAGCTGCGGGCACGGCAGAGGTCCACGAGCACCGGAAGCAACCAGTTTTGCATCCCACGAGGTGCAAGAGAAGCCCAGCGATCGGTCGCCATGTAGCCAGGCAACAGGACCACGCGTGCTCCTCCGCCGTTGCGCGCGTGTTGGCGGAACCAGTGAAATAGAAACGCTTTGCGACGCGATCGCGCCCGCGCCGTTCCCAGATGAGGTGCGGGCACCAGCGAGCCGTGCGGAGAGAGGGGCGCGAGACGCAAGGGCTGCGAGCCGTGGGCGCGCACCCTGTAGGCCCAGGAAGGCGAGGAGGCAGGCAGGGGAAGGAGAAGTGGGCGCACGGGGGCGGGGGCACGACCACTCAAGCGGCCAGGCGCGCAGCCGGCCGGGTGGCCACGAGCGCGAGCGCAGAGGGCGCCAGAGGGGGGGAGGGGAGGCAAGAGGGGGGCGGAGAAGCAGGAGGGGAAGGACGGCTGCCAGCCGCCCGCGGGGCAGGCAGGCGCAGGGGGCAGGGGGAACGCGAAGGGGGTGTGGAGGCAGAGGCCACGAGCGACGAGCGCGTCCGCGTCCGAGGCGTGATCCCATGGGCGTAGGTTCCGCGCGCGCGGGGCGTCCGCGCAGAGCCGCCGCCCGGTGTCCATGGACTCGCGGCCGAGAGGTCCCGACCGAGAGGTCGTGGGTGCGGTTAGCTTCCCCGCGGGTAGGGGCGGCAGCAGCAGGAGGGGGGGCCGTAGGTGCAACCGCCTGGGCGCCAGCTAAGGAGCTGCAGCCAACAGCTGGGGAAACCACAAGGTAACGATACCGCTACTCCCCGGACCTCTCCCAGGGCGGATTGTGACCAGGATTTCGAGGCGAATCCAGCGGTGGCGATCCGGGCCTCCCAGGAGGCCCCCCCCCAAAGGGGAAAACAGAGGAAGGTAGCAGTATGGGCACCTATTCTTCCTCGGAAGAGCAGGGCGGAGCGCCGCACCAGGGGCACCCGAAGTGGCGGCAGAGACGCAGGCCTGCTCCTCCGACACCGCGGCTTGAAGGCACGCACGGGCGCAGAGCTCACGGGCCACGAAGAAGCAAGACAGGCCGGGCACTGCCAAATTGTGCTCCAGCGGCCGAGCGACGTCACTGCGGCGGAAGCTAGAAAGCGGGCCACGCTCAACGCCAACTCCACCTGACGTTGCGGATGGGAGGACTCCGCAGGGCGAGTCGCGTGCAGAAAGAGGAGGCCGATGGCTGCGCTGGGCGAGCTGGGCCAAACAACAGCAGGCGCGCACCCTGCAAGGAAAGACAGACGAGCGGGCGAAGAAAGAGCGCCGAGCAAGCCAGGCCCAGACTGTAGCGGGCGGGTGCAAGGCCAGGAACGCACGCCAAGGGGTGGTGAATGATGCTACTGTCTAAGTCACGGCACGCTTGCGATTTTGTTCGCCAAGCAGGGCCGCCACTACACAGAGGCCGCGCCGCGGTGAAGGCGGCCGCCAGGAGGCCACTAGGGAAAACAAAACAAACAGAAAATGCCCAAGCAAAACACCCGAATAGCATCAACAAAAAAATATGCGGAGTCGGGAAACAGGAGGCCGGCGAATAAAAACACGCATTGCTACGTATCCATAGGAATTCCTATAAGAAAAATACAACCAGGACTAGGCTGAGAGCACGACCATGTGCACCTTGGTGTATTTTGTACCAGGGGTCGTGGCCGTCCAAGCCAAACATGTAGCAGGCATTCAGGCGAGAGTACGATTCCAGAGTAAATTGTGAGGAAATCGGCTGCCAGACTGGGCGCTCTGGCAGTCCGTCCCCCGCGTGGGACTATTACGTTTTTTATGTCGTCTCGGCGACGCAGCGAAATTATATCAGATGACAAAAACCATCGTGCGAACTGCAGCAGCCGTGTAGGCCAGGGAGGTTGGGGCGTATCCTGCGCCACCCAGTCGGCGTGCCGCTACAGGATGACGGGTCCAATGGTGAACGCAGAAGAGCAACCCGAATCGGCCAGGGAACTGGAAGAGCAAATATACACAAACACGCACGTTTTCCGACATGCGCGGACAGTGTTGCGTGACCGATGCCGAAACGCGCGGAGTGCTCGGGCAAGCTCCGCGGGCGGCTGCCAACTGTGGCAGAAGTGGTTGGCGAAGGGAGGCGGGAAAACGGGCGGAGCGGGCGGGGGAGGTTCATCTGGGGACAGGACACACACACACACTTTTTCGTCGGCGGCAAAGCAGGAATTGGCTGCACCACCGCTGGAGCTAAAAGGGGGCACCGAAAAGCGAAATGGTCAGGACACGCACGCACACACACACACACACATGTACACATACACGTACACGTACACGTACACGTACACGTACAAGTACACGTACACGTACACGTACATACACACACACACACACACACACACGCACGCACGCACGCACGCACACACACACACACACACACACACACACACACACACACACGCACCCACACACACACACACACACACACACACACACACACACGCACGTAATTTCTCCTCCGGCGCGCCGATTGGGTGCAAACGGCGGTAATAGTCCACCAAGACGGGAGGCGCTCACAGAGGACGCACACACACACACACACTTTTGCGCCGGCGGCTGGGCAGAGGTCGACTGCTCTGGCGGAATGGCAACAGGGGACACGCTGTACGCAAATTAAAACCGCAATTCACGGGAAGAGAAGGGGGAACCCCGGCGCGACGGGGGGAGAGGCAGCACTCAGAGCTGCCGGCGGCGGCAATGGACCGCGCCAGGGGGGGGGGAGCAGCGCCGGCACAGGCTGTACTGAACTGCGCTGAACTGAATCTGGGGGGGGCAGCCAGGAGCTGCAGCTGGCGGCGAAGAGAAAACGAAGCGGATCCCAACCCTGGCCCGAGCACAGCCCAGGGAAAGGCTGGAGCACCGAGACCAGCGGGCCTGCGAGATGAGTGCAAGGAGAGAGGAGGCCAAGCGGGCCAACCTCAGCAGCAGGCGCTGAGCAGCGGGCACGAGGGGGCTGGCGCGGGGCGGCACAGAGCGCGAGGTGGCGGAAGCAGAAGGCGAGAAGCCCGGAGTCGGGCAGAGAGAGGCACCAGAGGGGGCGGCGCCCAACCCAGCGGACCGAGGCCTGGCCCAGAGAGAAAGCCAAGCGCCGAGACCCGTGGGTCTGCGAAGCGCAGCCGTGGGGGCGACGGCCGGGGAGGCACCGCCCAGGCAGAGCGGACCGAAGCGGCGGGGGGGAACCCCGACATCGACAACGGCGGGGAGCGCCGAGACCAGGCGAGAAAAGGCGGCCCAGGGGTGCGGGGCGGC